CAGCAAGGTTTCAATAGGCTCTCGCAGCGCTTAGCTGCTCGGGCCTAATAACAAAACCACCAACCAGCACTGCAGACCGCATATTTCTGCTCTAAATTAGGCCAATTTATCAGAGTCTACCGGACTATCAGGTGAGAAAACACTCCAAGGGAAACATAGTCATAATCTGGGTTTCGGGAGCCATTTCTAGTCTGCAGAGGGACCGCCGTACTAAAAATACTCCAACTGCCTCGTCCAAGAGGCCCAAAAGCACCCAGAATAATATTTAAAGCAGTTCTCATTAAATTCTGGTTTTCCATCAGTTTTTACTCACCTACTACAACCGGTAGGACCCTCATAGCTTTCCGTTCCCTGCTGTTGATCTTCGCCCTCTTCTTGACTTGCTGCTGGTTGAATCTCACTGTTGGCACTGAGTTTTCCCGGTACTGCCGTGGATAAGGAATCTCCTGCTGGATGTAGTCGCCTGAGTCGTCCATGCGAGTCTGGGCCAGATCTCTCTCTATGATCCTGGGCAGTGGCATGGGCAGCGCCCCGGGGATGGTGCCCATCATCGGGGGCAGGGCGCCGCCGACCGCGCTGTTCTGCTGCAGCTTCCGGCACGCCTCGATGCTGCTGCGCAGCTTGGCCTTCCGCGCCTCCTCCCACCGCCTCAGACCTCGAAAAATCCCAAAGTAGAGCAGCACCATGATGGGGCAGGGGATGAAGAAGGAGCAGACGGACGAGTACACCACGTAGTTGTTGTCCTCCAGTTTGCACTCTCTGGGGTCGCGGTTCGGCACGTTGTTGATGCCGAAGATGACGGGCGAGGCGACGGCCAAGGCCAGCAGCCAGGTGGCGGACAGCAGGATGAGCTGCCGGTAGTCCACGTGTTTACGGTTGTAATTCAGCGGTATGGACACTGCAATGAACCTGGAAAAGAAACATGAGCTACATCAACCAAAGTTTGGTTTTCTTTCAGGTTCTTGAAGGAAAACTTTCACAAAATTAGGACCGAAAGCTCTTTGACCCAAAGCCATTTTTGCTGGATTTCTATAGGATTGCTATAATGCTAAATATTTTCAAATCTATGGTATAAGTTAATGAAAAAAACACGGTGAGGTAAGTAACTGAAAGAGAGTTTCTTAATGAACCGAAGAGGTTATTTCTATACATTTGCAACAGGAAGTGTCTTCGTAATGTAGCAGCTAGCTTAGCAGCAAATGTTGGACGTTGTTTACATTTATTTTGCTTTAGAGACACAAGAGGACTCCTACAGCCGCTAAAATCTGACGCCACTCCACTTTGTTTAAATTTCATGAAGGAAGATGCGCTCAATGTGTTCTTCGGAGGTTTTCATGTTGTTTCCTTCAGTGGTCTTTTGTGCAGCGCCCCCACAGGCGAGGAGGGGAACAGGTTTT